GGCCAGCCCTCCCCGCTCTGTCCGGCGCCGGCCGGCTCCTGCCCCGGGCTAGCAGTTAGGCTCTTCTTGGGCAGCAGCCGGAGATCCGTGGCTCTCAAGCTGGCATCTGCCAACCAGCAGTTCTTGGGAGGAAGGGTTTGGCCTCGTCCTGTCTGGGGCTCCCCCACAACTGCTTCACCCCTCCTCACAGCCCAGGCTAGGATCCTGCCTCCCTTCTCCAAGTTTCCCAAAGACTTGCGGGGGCGTTGGGGGTGATAAGACAGTCTTGGCCTGGGCAGAGCATTCCTGGCACATTTCTGCCATTCCTTCCCAACCCCAGACCCTCAGCATCACCCTCAGCCAGGGGTCTGCTGCTCCCCAGACTGACTGGCAGCTCAGAGAGCCGCGGGGCGAGCCGGTGGCCCCGGGGTGCTGGTGTCAGAACTGGGTGGTGCCCGGTGGGGCCAGGCTGCCATGCCCTTGCCCTTGCCCAGAGGAGGAACCTGGAGGTGCCAGGAAGAATGTGCTTCTCCACTGCCCCTGTTTGTCTCCAGCACCTCCCTTCCCGCCCCCCGAATTCTGGTACTCCTGGACACCTCGCCGCCCCCCACCCTGCCTTCCTCAGCTCCCCCCAGTTCTAGGGTCCCACACTCTCTCACTTTGCTTCAGCTGACTCAGGGCCAGAGGTGGGAGCAAGACTTGAAGACACACACACACACACACAGCCACAGCCACAGCCAGCGGGCCTCCTGGGGAGGAGAAGGAATTCCCAACTGTAGGCTTGGGCTGCCGTCTTTTTGGAGGGTTCCACCCTCAGGGCTGTTTGCCCCATGGGCATGTGTCCCCAGGCGGGACTCCTGGGCTGGGTGGGCTCCACAGCGGGCACATGGATAGGCTGCCCACACCTGGAACACACCGGCCACCACCCCCGCCATGCCGATGCCACAGCCATGGACACACCCCTCCCCAGACACACAGTCACTCGCCAGAAACTTGTGGGCCCGACACAGCCGTGCCCACACCCACATGGGCCTGCTACGTTGTCTAGACGCGGCCGCCCCCAGAGGCTCCAGCCTGGCTGGCTAGCCGCCCACTGTGCTGGAAGATTCCTGGGCCTGAGCTGAGCGCGGAGGCCCAGTGGGCAGGCCACCAGCCAGGGTCTTGGAACACGGCCTCCGGCTCCCTGAGTGGGACCCCGGGTCCCCAGGGTGCAGCCAGAGCTGGGTGGAAAGTATCAGGCAGGCTGGGGTGTGGCTGGGCCGCGTGGCTCCCTCTGCTCGTGGGTGCTTAGGGGCCCTTGTTTGTTAGTTTCCGAAGGGTCACCTCTAACCTTCATTGTGGGACATGTTCCTCTGCCGGCCGGCGGCTGGCTCCTGCCCCCTCTTCCTGCCACCCGGGCAGCGTCTGGCACCGCTTCCCCTGCTGTCACCTCTGCCTGCAGGGCCTTCCCCTGCTCCTTCCTGTGGCCTGGCGGGCGCGGCTCAGGCGCGGGGAGATCCTGACTCCCCGAGACACCCTGGGCTTTATGACTCAGTTATAAGTTCTCCCCGAGGGTCAGGTCCGTGGTTTCATTATCTTGGATCAGCTGGGGACCAGACCCAGCGCTGAGGCCTAAGGGTGCAGTTTGTGAGCAGTGAGGGAGGACCAGCTGTGCCTTCCTTGGGACCCAGGGCCGTGCCCCTCACTCCCGGGAAGGCCGGGCATCATGCTGGGCGGACTTCCCCTCCAGGGGAGCTACTGCTCAGATCGGGCCGGCTCGGTGACCCGCTGGCCAGCCGAGGGAATGGTGTGGCTGGAGAATCGGTCTGGGATCGAGGGCCCTTCGTGGCGGGTGTGTGAACGGTTCTAGCGAAGAGCAAGGGTTGCGTAGTAGAATCGCAGGGCCTGGTGGGGCTGGCTGCCAGGGTGGGACCAGAAGGGGGCATGCGGACCCTGCCCTCTGCCAGGAGCTCATGTTGATGGGAGGCAGGACTTGCTAGAGCCTTGGAGACCACTGTCCCCTGGACCCTCAGGCAGAAGGAGCAGGGAGCAGGAGAGGATGATGCCCAGTGTGGACCTAGGTCCCTCCCATGGCTCAGCCAGGAGGACGCCACTGTGAGGGGTCTTTGCACTGAATCCGGTCAGTGCGGTGGGGACCCAGCTGGCCACTGGGAGTTAGAAATGCGCACAGGGAATGGCGTGTGGCTTTGATTGGGCCGCACAGAGAGAGTGCGACGACTTCCGGTCCAACAAAAGCAGGAGAGCGGGGACGTCTTTCCAGAGAACCCACGTGCAGGGGAAGCAGTCGGGGGATTTTGTGATGATAGTGGGAGTGGGTACTAGACTCATGGAGCCCAGGGCTGGGCAGAGGGGCAGCTAAGGGTCACAGTGCGATGGACCGGACAGGGTCATGTGCCCAGCCTGGGGCACGGGATCGTTGGAGGTGGGGAGAGCACAGGGCCTCCACTCACTGCCCGCCCCTCCCTTCTAGACCTTGTCCTTTGCTGGCTCCGGAGCGGATCGGGCAGCGGTCCTGGTGGGCCCAGCCTGAGCCAGCTATGCAGCCGTTGCCTGCCGGGCCCTTCCCGGAGGAGGTGGCAGAGGAGGCCCCTGCCCAGCCAGAGAGCGAGCCCAAGGTGCTAGACCCGGAGGAAGACCTGCTGTGCATTGCCAAGACCTTCTCCTACCTGCGGGAGTCGGGTGAGTCCGGAGCGGGCAGGCTCTTTCCTGGCTCAGCCGGAGGGGCAGCTTAGCACTGACGGAAGCGGAATGGGAGAGGCAGAGCCCTACCCAGGAGAGTCTGGTGGGGGGGGGTACAGCCCTCCCGAGGGAAGCATGAAAGGGGAGGAGACAGAGTCCGGCCCTGGTTTGGTGTCCCCAGATCACTGTGACCAACCTCTCGGCCCCCTCTCCGCTTGCCTAGGCTGGTACTGGGGCTCCATCACGGCCAGCGAGGCCCGGCAACACCTGCAGAAGATGCCCGAGGGCACGTTCCTCGTCCGGGACAGCACCCACCCCAGCTACCTGTTCACACTGTCCGTCAAAACCACCCGCGGCCCCACCAACGTGCGCATTGAGTACGCCGACTCCAGCTTCCGCCTGGACTCCAACTGCCTGTCCAGGCCGCGCATCCTGGCCTTCCCGGACGTGGTCAGCCTCGTGCAGCACTACGTGGCCTCCTGTGCCACCGACACGCGTGGGACCCCGCGCTGCCCGCCCCCGCGGCCACGGCTGTGCACCTGAAGCTGGTGCAGCCCTTCGTGCACCGGGGCCGCGCGCCCAGCCTGCAGCACCTGTGCCGCCTGGCCATCCACCGCCTGGTGGCCGACGTGGACTGCCTGCCGCTGCCCCGGCGCATGGCCGACTACCTCCGCCAGTACCCCTTCCAGCTCTGATCCGCCCGGCTGCCCTCGCCTCGCCCCGACCTCCGGAGGGGACAGCGGCCCCGCTGGACTCAGGCCCTCGCTGTCCGTCCTCCGGTCATCCTGGTGCCCATGTGCTTCTGGCAGCTGGACCTGGAAGAACCCGCAGAAGCCAGGCTGGGGGCCGAGGAGCAGCGGGGAGTGTCACACAACTTGGAGGTCACGCCCTCAGCTCCCATGTGGCTCCTGGTGGCGAGCCACGTGTCGGAAGAGAGGGAGCCGGCAGGCACCGGCTCACCCTCTGCGCGGGCCGGGCCCCCTCACCTGCTGCGCAGCCCCCTGAACTCCGCAGACTTTGCCTTAGACTTTGCAGGGCTCTCAGTTCGCCGGGTGGGGGGGCCCTCCTTCCAGCCCGACTTCTCAGGGAGGATGGCGGCCAGAGGAACGGAGGTGGACAGTGACGTCCCCTGGTGGGGAGCAGGCCAGGCTGGACCCGCGCGGTTACACGTATTTATTTATTTATTCTCCTCGGGCTGGCCTCAGGGTGGGCCAGCCCCGCCTCTCTGCCCTGAGCCCCGAGAGCTCCGAGACCCCAGCCCTGCCCAGCTTCTCTGCTCCTCCCTGCGGAGGGCCCATCCTGAGACCCCAAGCGCCAACGCCCCGTCTATGGATGTGTCCGCCCGTCTCCCCAGCCCTGTACACAAGGTGGGCGAATGGACAAGCACATGGAACCGAAGCTTCAGCGCCCAGTGGAGCCTGACAGCCCCCCTCCTCCCCCCCAGGGCAGAGCCCTGTGTCCTCAGAGCTGGTCTCCTGGCTGCCGCTCCGCCGGCCTTGCTTCCTCCCCGGAAGGGGCCCGCCTGCCCCCTGAGAGAGAAAGAGATGCGCATCTGATAAGACTTTATAAAATAATTATTATAACAAAAACAAAAAACACACAGTTTGGTAGTCCTTTATCTTCCACTGATTTTTCTATAATGGCAATAAAATTGTTCCTTTCGTTGGTGGAGCCTCTTCTGAGTCTGTACACAGATTGTTGCCCTTGATCTTATCATCATCACCCGCTTTCCGTCCGGGTCATCCAAGGCCCTGGGACCTGCTGTGGCTGAGCAGGCCCGGGCCGGGGGCCCATGGGAGGTGGGGGCAGGGCGGCTCTGTCCTCTCAGCCTCTTGTTCCCGGGGAGGATGAGGCGGGAGGGAGGCCGCTGCCAGGGCAGGGGTGGCAGAGGAGCACCAGGCCCGAGATGAGCCAATAGGAGATGCCAGTTAAAAGGGGAGACCTCAGGGGGGTGGGTGAGATGAGGAGGCCAATAGCCAGAGAAGCCCTGGGGAGCAGGTTCAGGGAGTGCGGGGGCACCGGGCATGACTGGGCAGCTCACTGCCGCCCACAGGAGGCGGGCCGGGGGGGGGACATCCTGTGCTCTGGGGCAGCTGGTGGCGTCAGGGATAGTGGCCAGTGAGCTGGCAGGCAGGGCCTGGCCTCAGGTGGGGGCAGGTGGGGTTGGGGGACCCTCTCCTCACACTCGGGGCCCTGCACCCAAAAGTGGGTAGGAGAGCAGTGAAAGTGAAAACACGCCCTCGTCTGGCAGCCTGACCTGGGAACCCTCCGCAGTCCCACTGCGTGCTGACGTTTCCTTGCTACTTCACAGAACAGCCATCCTGTTCTCTTGGCCTTTAGACCATGAGCAGTTGCAGAGAGCGGGGCCACTGCTGGCAGATGAGAGCAGGGAGCTGTGAGGGTGACGAGGAGGCGGGACAGGAGAACTGGAGGCCCAGCGCCTTGGGTGAAGAATGGGCTGGTTGGTGAGTGAGCAGGAAGTGGGTCGAGGCCCAGGCCTCCAGCCCAGTGCCCGGTGCCCGGTGCCCGGTGCCCGCTCTGTTGCTGGCTATGGGGCCTGGTGCCACGCCTCCTCCGGGATGCCAGGGCCCTGCAGGGGATGGTAAAGTTCATTGCTTCAGCCTGGGTCCCAGTGCCTTTGTGGCTCCCAGAATGCCTGCGAGGACCTCTCTGTCTGCTCCACCCCCAGACCCGAGTCACCCCGTGGGCAGGTAGCAGAGACGGGGTGGCCAAAGGCAGGCCGGTCCCCGGCTGGCACGGTGGCCGGGACGGGAAGCTGCTGGGGCCGGAGGAAGCCCGACAGCTTCATGGCCAACAGAGGGGAGAGAGCAATGGACAGGGGTTTGCACCTCGTGCAGAGCTCGCCACAACCCTGGGCGTGGGTCTACATGTTCCCTCCTCCACACAGAAGGAACCGAGGCCCAGAGGGGCAAGGGACTGGCCGAGGACCTGGGCACTGAGGAGCCAGCCCCGAGGGGTCCCGGCTGCCCACTCGCCCTGGACTGTTCCAGGAGGTGACAAGGCCTGGCCGCTCAGGCAGGCTGCTCCTGGCTGCTGTGTTCACTCCCCGCCCTCTCCTTGCAAGATCTCTGGAGCCATCGGCCTGGCCAGCAGGGCCCTGTCCCCTCTTTGCCTCCACTCAAGCCAGGGTCCAGCTCTTGCCTGGGGAGGGGCTGCCAGCTATGTTTAACCTCCGGTATTTTTCTGTTTTAATCTTATCTTCTTTCTTTTTTTTAAAAAAAAATATACTAGTATATATTTGTATTGATTTCAGAGAGGAAGGGAGAGGGAGATAGAAACATCAATGATGAGAGAGAATCATGGATCGGCTGCCTCCGGCACGCCCCCCACTGGGGGTTGAGCCCCCAGCCCGGGCCTGTTGCCCCGATTCATGGGAATCGAACTGTGACCTCCTGCTTCATAGGTCGATGCTCAACCACGAGCCACGCCGGCGAGCTATCTGCTCATGTTTTCCTATCAGGGAAGTGAGTGCTGCCTGGAACGGGGACGGTGGAGGGTGTGTCATCCGGTCTCAGACCCAAGACAGAGACTCAGCCTAACAGACGCCCCAAATCCTGCGGTCGGTGCCACCAGCCCGGGCGGCCTGGAGGCAGAGGGCACAGCCTGCCAGCGCCCGCCAGGGACAAAGAGAGGGGCCGGCTGGCGGGTGCCCCGGGCCCGGCACAACATACAAACATACCTGGTGGCAGCTCTTCACCAATTACGTCCTTTGCCAGCGGACATGCTCCCTGCAAACCACCCGGGCCGAGGACATGGCAGGGAACCAGACGCACACGGTGCCCACCCTGGGGGGCTGGGGGGCGAGAGACAATAAACAAGGGAACAAATGCGCACTCGGGACCAGCTCTGAGGGTAAACAGAGCCAGCAGAGCACGGGCAGAGTGGCTTTGGGGGGACACGGCTGCAGGTGGGAGCTCAGGGAAGCTCTGCAGCAGGTGGCCCGGAGTGTGGACACCTGTGCAGAGAGCAGGAGCTGGCAGTGCCGACAATCAGGGCAAGGATATCCGGGGGCGGGGGCCGGAGCTGCCGGGCAATCCTCTTCAGGGCCGGGCCTGTCAGCGGGTGGGGCGGCCCCCGGGAGGCCTGGGGACAGGACGCTGGGGAAGGTGAGGAGTGTGGGCTCTGGCAGGCGGGTGGCGGAGGGGGAGGGGGCGAGGGGCGGCGTGGAGCTCCCGGTGGGGGCCCCGCTGAGTCCTCAGGGCAGCCTTGCCCACCAGCAGAGGTTGTGTCACTCACAGCGGAAGCGGGAAGGCTCCGAGAGCGGTGGTCACACAGCCCGTGAGGGGCAGGAACCGGGTGCGAACTCTGAGGCGAGAGCTCTGCCCTGCCCCCCAGGGGCTAGCAAGCCAAAGCCTTGGCACCCACAGGTGCTGAGGGCATGACAAGGGGTGGGGCGATCCTGGAGGGCTCTCTGGAGGAGGGAGCAGGGTTAGGGCTGGGCGCTGGGCCCTGGAGGATTCTGCCCGGCACTGAAGAGGTGGGACCGGAGATTGGTCCTTATGCTGTGCCTCCCTGGACTCACACCCTCCTCTGGACCGACTTTGGGGGCAGAGAGCCACTAGGCCAGTCAGTGCGAGGTCTTACCCGGACATTTCACCCTGAGTACTGAGTGTCCTAACATCCCCTGAGTCACCTGGCCCGGGCCCCGGCCCTTGGGCCTGGCCTTGCAGCTGCCAACTGAGCAGATCTTGCTGGGCCAGGGCAGCTCAGGTGTGAGTGGGGCTGGGGCGTGGCCGGCTGGCTCCATGCAGGGGAGCCCTCCCACCTGCACAGCGGCCCACAGTGACGCTGAGGGCCAGGGGCCCTGACATTAGCCGGAAAGAAGGCGGCGGATCCTGGGAGCTCCCCAAGGCCCCCTTCCTCCCGAGACGGAGACGGAGACGTGAAGCCAGCGCCGGCCTGGCAGCCCTTTCACACCAACCTGTTGGGCCAGTTTCAGGAGAGCAGGCCGAGCTTTGCCAGAAATCAGTCGCCTCTCACCACCCCCACTGCCGGGGCGGGGTCCCAGGCTGGGGCCCCTGTGTGTCCTAGACGAGATGGAGGAGGCCCTGGAGGTTGGGTCCTCCTCACACACCCCCACGCCCTGGTTTCACCCCACCTCCCTCCAGCCTGGCCTGGGCGCCATGCCCTTGGTTCTGGGCATTTCCCCTCAGTCTCACGATCTCCGACGATTCCTTGGCTGTGAAACAGGGAGGGTGACAGCACCCCTCTCCAGGGGTGCGGGGATGCGGGGACGCGGGGCCCAGGGGCATCTCCGAGGGGGTGCTCGGGAGATAAGCACTGAGCCCATGAGGTTCAGTCTGGCAGCTGCTGCAGCTTCATTGTAACTAGCCCTTGTCCATTTGTGGGCGTGTTTTTTAAAATATATTTTTATTGCTTGCAGAGAGGAAGAGAGAGGGAGAGATAGAGACATCAATGAGGAGAGAGAATCATTGATCGACTGCCTCCTGCACTCCCCCTACTGGGGATCCAACCTGCAACCCGGGCCTGTGCTCTTGACCAGAATGGAACCTGGGACCCTTCAGTCCGCAGGCTGACACTCTATCCACTGAGCCACACCGGCTAGAGCTCCCTTGTCCTGTTTTAATCCCATTGGAGAGGTGGACTGGAAAGGTACTGATGTCCCCAGAGGTTGGGCTGGAACTCCCTGGGCCTCTAAGCGGCCCCTTATTTATTTCATACTATTCAAATAGTTTCCAGGGAATTTTTCCTGTTAATATCATGAAGAATCAACCTTACCCTGTGGCTTGTTGCCTTTCCCTTGCTGCCTGCGAGATTAAGGTCTCCCCCCCTCCCCCCCCCCCCCCCCCCCCCAAGGAGTTATTTGCCATCGTGGCCTTGGGTTCTAGTCCTGGCGAATAGACACTTTGGTTTGTTGTCTGTGTGGGCTGGGGTGGAGGCGAGGCCAGCCCAACCTTCTAGCAACTTCTTTTCCAGCTCTAGTAGAGACTACACCAGCTACTACGCTTGCCTGGACCCAGCGCGGGCTCCCACTCCTCAGTGGTCCGTGCCTTCACAGGAGAGTTACAGGCGAGGGAGGTGAGCGGGGCAGGTGCCTCTAGGTCTGTCCCATTTCCAAGATGCAAGCCTGAGACCCAGAAGAAAATGTAGCTTGTCCATAGTCACCCAGGGAGGAAGCGGGCCTAGGGGTTTAATTCCAGGCCAGAGAGCTCGTGCCCTCGCCTGAGCACTCGTGAACTGCTGCCCGCTGCCCGCTGCCCGCTGCCCGCTGGCTGGGGAAGCGAATGGCCTGGTCCGTGGCCACCTAGACTCCTAGTGTCCAGACCTGGACTCTTCGCTGCCCCACACACACCTCACCTTCTCCTGTCTTGGAGACAAGCCCCACTTCATTCCTGGCCTGTGGATCTCACGTCCATGCCCTGGTCCCTCCCGGCTGCCCTCTGGCCACTCCCCTGCTGTCTTGCCCAGATCCAGCCTCATCACCTCTCGCTCGCCCGGCTGGACCATGCTCACGGCCTCCTCATCAGCCCTCCCGCCGTCTCCAGAGTGAGGTGCTTCCAAACCCAACCTCGCCCGCCTTCCCCTTAGCATGTCCGTGGGCTTCTCCCGGGCCCTGCCCGCGCCTCCCCCCGGGCCCAGGACAGGCTTTCCAAACTGCCCAGCCGTTCTGTTCGCTTCCCCAC